AAGCTACTACGCTCATTGTTGTTATCACAGAGCTGCAAATGCGGAATTTTTTTTGGTGTTTACATTTGTAAAATGCATTCTGATTTTTCTAACCTTCATTTTCTCGCATAGGGTCCCGATAGAGACTTGAAACCATCAGATTTATTATGATCGAAATTTATGCGTCGTTGTGTCATAATCCTATTTACAGGGCGCAGCATCACGCAACAGCTGTCGCCACTATCTGCTGCGATGCAGCCTGTTTTCTAGGTTTACAACTAACCCGAGAATTCACTTGATGCGGACGGGAGAGTCACAGTTTTCGATCGAAGACAAATTAATAAAATTTTGTAAATGTTTATCTTCGAGCTAAACAATTTCCAGCCATGCGCTATAAGGGAAATCCTGTTTAGTTCCTCATGTACATCTAAGTTTTCAATGGTGAGCGAAATATGGTAATTCGATGATAATTCACAGTGTAACTTGAAAATATTTTTCAACACACATGTTATTGAAGTGCCAGATATGCAAAAAGCAAAAGAGTAATCTTTTACTAGCTACAGCATGAGCAATTCGATCAGGTCACTCTGTTCGAAATTTTTTGAGGTTACAGCATTGAAGTAGCCACTGATGCTGGCCATCGCTTCAGTTAATGAGGGAGAAACGGAAAGAGTATTGAAGCTCAGTAATAGATTTGTCAATAAATATGCTTCTACGCCTCAGGTTGGTGAAACCAGTTACAGGTGTTAATTACATCATACATGTTAGTAGTGACTGGTTCGACTATTACGAAATTGGTCGACCGTGTGAGGTTTGAGTGTTTCTTTTTTTTTTTCATTCTGAACTCATAATACTAGTTATTGTTCTGATCCGCCTGCCTAGAAACGGACGTGAGTGAGTAAGCCCTCTACCTGAACAAATATTTTTAGCAAATAAATCGCTGGATGGCGCGCGTTAGTGTGGTCTACTCTATTATAATAGAAGTCCTCTAGCTTTCTCCACACTGAATAGAGTTGAAAGCTTGGCCGTCATTGCTGCGACGTCGATGGCAAAGATTATACGATCACGGTTTTAGCTAAATTCTGAACTCGAACAGATGACCTCTAGTTGGGCGTCAGCTACACATTTGCTTAAGGTACTGCCGATTGTGAAATGTTCTATATCTGCTGAGTAAACGATTTCCGTCCAACTTCTCTTCAAATCTATACAGCTGGGATACTATAGACGACAATATTGAAAAAAAAAGAAGAAAGAAAGAATAGGGTACGCATGCAGATTGGTTGGTTGGTTGGTTGGTTGGTTGGTTGGTCGGTCCGATCATTGCGCCAAGAGCCGTAGAAAACAATAACTACAAGAACAAACGGATAATTGCCAAGGCCAGAAAGACATCATTATTCCCAACTGAAATAATGCTCCGCGGTTCGCTTACACATTCTCATTTTCTAGTTCTGTACTAACTTAAATAATAGAAGAAAGGTGTAACCATTGGAGATTTACAAAAAATAATAACTATTACTGCCATATATGTTCAATAGGTATCGACAATTATAAAGTTGGCTAAAGATAAATTAAAAATGTTTCTTAGCGAACAGGAAAGGCGCTACTGGTCCTAAATTCTGGCCAGAAAATCCAGAACTTGATTCGAATTCGCCGTCATTGTCTACGATCCTTTTCGATTTTCTACGATTCGGTATCGCCATAAATTTTCATGACTGGAAAGACTCGTTCAGCCAGTGCTTCATACTCTCTTCATTGTCAAATGCGCTTTTGTGAGTTTAATTGGCATTGTGAATGGAGAAAGTTATAATCCGTTCCTCCGAAATGAAAAAATGATGCCCGACGCAAAACAACGTAGCACTCAACTTATGACCTGCTTAGCCACGCGTGTCTAGCATTACCGTGAGGTGTGCCACTTGACGTTGGTCAGATTGATTTTGCAGATCTATCCGATATAATTAAGATCTATACAGATGCTTATCGATTGATTAATAAGGCCTTTTTAGTCCCACCAAACACGAGGTATAGGTTAGATCTCGTCTGATTCTGGGCTTTCGTGTGTCCTGATAGGCGTATCGATTTATTGCTCTCTTTCTGTTCCTCGTATTGACTTCTCGTCGCAGAAATCTGTCACTGTTGCTGCGCGCTGTCCGACGCCAGACAAGATGTTCAACGAGAATGGCAAGCCGTGTTTCCCATGCTCTTCTCTTAGATAATAAAACAAATAAAGTAAGATGAAATCAAAGGCATTAAGATGTCGAACGATAGTCGAATGCTCGCAGCCCATCATCGTTGCTAATGAACAAGTTGCTTGGTATCTGAGGTTTTCGTCGACTAGGGCGGATGGTCGATTAGGGCGGAGCACATTTTGGGTCTTGGCGGACTATCTTCGAGGTGTCCTCGTAACTATATACATGCCTACATACGGAACGAAGCTGCTTCAACGCCTTTTTCGATTACATGAAATAGGTGTCGAAAATGCGTATGAATTTTCACCTACCAAATAATGAAATTATAGCGGGCACTTTTACATTATAGGGTAGAGTGAGCGAAAGGGTCCTCGAACAGCTCCAGAAGCAAGTAGAAAAGCGCCATAGTTTTTCCGCCAACTTGAATAGTTAGTTTAACCGTTAAAAAAATATTAGGTAAATCCATCACCATAGAAAACACAAAGTATCAACGAAGTTGCCAATTCCTAACCTTCGCATAATATCTAAATAATACAGAAACGGTTTTCTTTCCTTTGGCACCTAGAAAAGATTTTCTAAAGGGAGTTGCTGCTTTTGTCCTTACAACAGGAAATAAATGAATCATACAGAGTCATATTCTTTTTACGTTATATATCGTTAGATTTGCTGTATAAATGGCGTAACTTCAGAAGCGAAAAATCCGGTACACACATGTGTTCACACAATCTGTACACGATCTCAAATGCACACGTTCAGGATAGACTAAATACAGTCACACGTTACTTGCTTAGACAAGCACAGTAGCTACTATTCGGTTCGATTTTGTCTTAGAAGCTAGGCAATATTTGTAAAGACATAATACGGTGTCCTACCGACGTACATTAGTACCACAATGATGATGCGGTTGAAAGTTCTTCCTAAGTCCTGATTTTTCAGGACGGGAAGGGGAATGGGGAATTTTTTTGGCGGGAATGGGTTCGTACGCTGGCAAATACAACTCGCAGTTTGCGGATAACTATAGGTCGTCGTCGTCTTGTCTTCACTTCACACATATGCTGTGACCCGTCCAGGTTTCAACATAAACCAGAAATGCGTTTATAATTTACAGCAAACTTTAATGCAATGGATGTATCGCGAAGACATTTTATGAAACCATAGTATTTCTACGTGACATTTAAATACAGCCGAAGGAAAACTGGCCATATGTCTCCGTTGCTTTTAATTCAGGTTTTGCAAGAAGCCCAAAATACAGGAAAGATCTTCATTCACCTGTATACGATAGCTCTGTAATGGTAGTAGCAAATGATCCTCTCTATGTTTTTGTGAACAAAGAGTTTACAGCCATGCATCTGATTCGTTTACCTCGCATGACGTTTACCTCGTTCTTGCCAGCGATACATCCCGATTCTAATAACACGGAACCTGGAGGAAAGCGAAAATCTAAACCTTACAATGAGCCAAACAGTATAAAAAAATAGTCCCTTATTGAATAACTCGGAAGCTCTAATACCATTTATTTCGAATGCGAAAGCTGCAATAATGACTACGATGGTCATAATGATTTAAGTATTTACTTGTATCAGAACATCCTATCGTACGTTTATAGCTCAGTAATATAAAAAATATATTTAAGTGAATAATTATACCCGATCTTTATGAAATTCATTTGCGCGCCAGATACAAAAGTGAAGACTCGTCAATTTTCAAGCACTCTTTTTCAAACTATCCGGTATCTTTTGGTTAACTATATATATATATATATATATATAGGGTGCATAGAGACCAGCGAAATAAATTCGTTTTCTCCAAATGGGTAGTACTGTTAAATAAAGGCTCATTTCAAACTTGCAGCCATGGTAGATAACAGTGCCTCGATACCTGAACTGGGCCTATTAGCTAATCCTTCTCAATGGGTTGCAGTAATAATGAGGATGCGGCTATACTAGTTCAGTGTTGACATTGGCAAAAAGTATTTCCAGCTATTACTAATCAGAAAAATCACAGGTTAATATTAAAACTAACAGCTCTTGTCGTTTCATAGATCTGTTTCGAAAAATTTCAGATATGTACAGTAAAATCGTTTTCGGTTAGACTTTTTAAGGCTGCGAGAGCTTTCTCACATAAAATTATAAAATGTTAAACAACAACCACAATTTTCTTTCGCGCGTGTGTGATAAATTTCTCACGTTATATCTAACCGATAGTTTAAGGCATTGCAACTAAGTAGGCAGCTGCAAAAGAAACAGGACTAGGTTGCATCCAGTCAGCTGAGCTGGGAATCCGCGCGAGACAAACAACAGTGCAACGGTTAATCCATCCTGCCCAGATGTGCATCCTGATTATCTTTGTCTCGACCAGCTCGTTAGCGCCGAATCTTCATGCAGATAGATCGTTTACAAAGACTTAGAGATACACCATCTAAGTCAGGTAAACGCTCCTTAAGCCCGATAGAGCCTGATTAATTTACCAAAATAGTGCAGCAAATACTCGGTTGTTCGCTCAAAAGAAAAAAAAAACCGCACAAGCGACCGCTATCTAGCCAACGATCGAGAAAGCGCGACCACTTTGGCCAAAAATAAATTTTTAGATAATCACGGTCTGAGTGTGGTCAGTAGTGAGGAAGACACCACGCGATAGGACTGGGCCTAAACTGTTACTAAATGCATTTATATGTGCCTTCTATGAATTAATATAAAATGTATTAATTAATACATAAGTAAATTAATTAAGAAAAATAATATAAAAAACAAAAACTAAATAAATACAATCAACTAAAACGCGACCGTAAAATAGCTAAAGAAAAACCTTACGGTTTTCACGAAAATGCTCTTACAGGCTGATTCGTGCCGGATTGGCTACTGCAGGATTCAAACGCAATGAGCACATATGGCCAGATTTCGATCCACTGGACCATCTTGTACGGTATGCGATTGAGCGAGCGTTCAAGAAGTTGCCACAGGACAAGTTCGACCTTTTTATGTTCGGTCAGTAGCTACAATGAGTAATATTTATATCAAATAAACATGAGCTTTAAGAAATACACTTATTATACATGAGAAACGTTTCGCTAGAATATCTTTTTTTAAATACAGTCTTAGAAATGAGGTTTAAGAAACTCGTGATCTTACGACTTTTTAGACGTTTTCGGCAGGATTGAAGTTAGCCAAATTGTGAATAAGAAGGTAGGGAACCATTCCCGTACTTAAGGTAGCATCTTCGTATAAAAACTGCCGCTCTAATATTTTCTGTGCGAAATCTGTCATTCCACTGTCTAACACATCCCACGTCATGGATTGAACGCTTGATTTTCGGTACGACGCAGCTCTGGGAAAATCGCTGGTTAACATTTTTGAACGGCACGATGAACGACTTTCCGAAGATTTCCAAATGAGGTTCGTCTGAAAACCGGACCTCTTCCCGATTCTCAGCGACCCAGTTTCTAATCCCCTCCGGAATACCTATCTCTCTGGAGTTTGTCACCTTTTCTGATTTAACAGGGGAAATTTTTCCTCAGTTTCCCACCGACGTTGCCGACTGCGTGCGACATTCTTGATGTTTCGCGTTATGTACATTTGTTTTGATGACGCAATCTGCTAGTCAGTGCTTTCTGCTGCTCTAAACAACTGTTCCTCTTCGTATTTTAGTACTTTATGTACCGAAACACGCAAAGCTATTAAAAAACACTCAGACGAGTCGATACCCACTTGAAGTCGTGTTAGATTGACAGAAATGCACGGCCGCACATCGTACGAGATGCTTGCACAAAATATGAACGCTGATGCAACACGCTGTCACGCCTGTGATGACTGAAGTACGATATGTCATGTTACGTATTACACGTTTTGTCAACGGTTTAAAAATGTTTGCTGATGCGTTTATTAACACGTAGGATAGCAATGTAAAGTAACGAAAGATGAGATTACATTCATTGAATACGCCACTCCGGTAGTGATGGAGCAAAATGAAGTAGAACGGGTAAGGTTAAGTGTGGATTCATCGATAGGTCTGAATGAGACTTTGGCAAATCTTTTTGCCATTTGCTATTAGCACCGGATGATATGCTTACCACGTTGAGTGATAGGATAGATATCTCCGAAGCTTATTTACAAACGAAGGTTGAAAACGAGACCAGAGTATTTTCAACAATATATTCACTTAGAAGTCTATATTGTTATGATCGACTTTCATTGGACATCAAAGTTACTCATGCCGTCGTCTAGGAAGTGGTAGACAACTTAATATGGGTGTTATTTTACTTAGACGACGTCATGATTAGAATTATATAACTTTAGCTAGGGGTTTTACTATCGGCAAGCATAGTAGAAGACTTAGGAGGCAGCTTAAACGAACCTAAAATTTCCAGGTTGAACTAAAAAATATACATTTTTTTCAGGTATCAGTTGTCTAATTTTATTATCGTTGTTGCAGATGAAGACAAATTAGGCCTAAATAAATCAAAGTTAGGCTAAATATATGTTCATTAAATGGTCACTTAAGAAAATGGTTATTTTGAAATTTATGTTAAGAATATATTGGATTTTTCGAATGGACTGCTCCAAAAAAAGGCAGCCAAGGCGCACCTAATTATACCAATCAGGTACACCTTTTTGATGCTTTAGTTCCCATAAATGTACCTATTATACAGCAAAACAGTCACCCGTTTCAGCCCCTAAAGCCGCTAGGTTTCTCAAGTTATTCTTAGCTCCGTATTGATTTTCAATAATTACCTCCCCGCATAATGATAAAATATGACGTCCAGATTCACGACGTATCACCACAATATAATTTTTTGCACTCTTATTTTTACTTTTGTTTGTGCTTTAATTCACTGCCAAACGTTTGGTATCGGCACTTTTTTTTTTAGGAGTAACTTTCTTTCAGTTGCCTTTTGCAAGGATTTTGAAGGCAAAAAAAGCTGCGATAGAGAAAGGACAGAATAGGTGGTATCTTCTATTGTTTTAACGAAGGCCCCTGAAGGCAGTAAGCAAGTTCCCCCGCAGTTATTATGCTTTTTATTGCTGCTGTTTATCTGTCCAGCGGTTCCTTAAGTTTTCCTCTTCTAGGAACAATACGATTTTTGTGACTGGCACAATTAGCGCCGGCTCGGTACTTGTAGCCGCGGAACAGCAACAGCCACGAAGTTCGTTTTTCGAGGGGGTTTAAGTGAGCTTGCATTCGCTAGTGGTTAGAGCCTTAAACCTCGTGTGTGAAGGCCATGATTAAAGATTTACGGTTGCCAATCAGTGGGTCGTTCTCGGTGGTACCGCGCTAACCGGAAATCAAAGAAGCGTAAGCCTGAAATAGCCGCTGGGTAGGGTCGATTGGCCGAAACACAAGGACAAAGCGTGTATCAGCGCGTGCATACGTGCTTACTGCTCTAAAAGCAGCTCTTCAGTTCGATCAGAAGATACTGTCAAATTTAATATAAGTAGTCGTTGTGAGCAGAGTGACGGATTCATGCACGTTGCATGACATGAAAATGCGCGTTGCAAACAGTAGCGTACTTCGAAGTAACAATTTAAAAGAATAAGTACGTCCCTAGTAAACTCTATGCTTGTAAAATATTTTTTATAAATATGACCGATGATTGATCCCATTAACTATGAAAGGAAGTTAGAGAGCAGCCAATTCCAATACAGATTTTTTGAACGGCACTTGATTAGGCAATTTATAACTGCCACAATATATATGGGCCGCTATGTAGACTACGAAGCGTAATTTGTAGGTTAGTATCCCTGGGATGAAACCGTCCTCTATGTTCGTGTGGATCAGTTAAAAAGATATTCTTTATCAGCTAAAAGAGCAACATGGAAGGTGTACGTCGAATCCTGCTCGGAAACTTGCCTAACAGACGACTAGATCTATCAAAATTTTAGGTTTACTAAAGTAACCTTGAATATACTTCTCATTGTACAGAACTCACAGTTAAGAGAAAGTAAGAAAATTTTCAGGCAGAGTGACATCTATCGAAAATGGCTGCTGTAGCTCGTGTACTCACAGGACACAGTCAGGAAAAAACAAACAGGTGAGTTAGTTCCTCTTATCTTTTCAATAATTATAATGTTTATAGAAGTAAGATTATTTCTAGTAAATAAGACACTTATGAGCTAGCAGAGCTTTTTATTGCCGGAACCCCGAATCCATGCGAATACCTGTATCTACATCTGGGTTGCGCATGCCAACATGTGATTGTAGATAACTTTACGTATGTTGGTCCTCACGATAGCCTAGTGGATAACGTATTTGCCTGCTAATCTTAAGGACACATTGTAGTCGAAATTTGCATCTTCGTGCTGAAAGGCCGCCGTATGATGGAATACCTAGTGGTGGTACAGGACGAAAAACTCGAAACGTAGAAGGTTTACGTATGTTGAATTGGTACTAGTCTCGACCGAGCAGTGTCTTCGCGTTCGACAGTTGGGAGTCCTTGAGCTCTTAGTAAGAAGTTGAAATACTTATTAAGTTAATAATTACAGTCGGCACACTTATTTAAAATTCTGACAGGCAACTCGATTGCGTAAAAGATTAGTTCTGAATATGAACAGCTTACGCCGCCGCGGGCTGCCATGTTCTTCTTTCTGTTCTATGTGTAAAACACAGAGGCGAAAAGAGAAACAGAAGAGTACTGACATTTGAGTAAGACAATTGCCAAAACCAAGTGTTGATACTTCTCACTTTCAATAAGGTGTTAAATTAGTCCTGCAGGGACGCGTACTGATGCTTCGGAATGCCTAAACTAGAATTTTATAGGAACGTGTACGATTTCGTCGGCGCGCATACGATACCTGTGTGTCATAAATTTTTGGTACGCTACATATTCTAGTTCTATACAGATATTTTAGCCTATCTATGATTTTAGTACATCTTTAACTCTACGTAATAGGATATATTAATAATGCAGTAATAATAATGCAGAACTTGTCTGTTTATATTTGTTATTCATAAATAGCTAATAAAGATTTACAAGACTGTGCTTTATAATATAATGAATTAGAGCGTGCAAAAATAACACTTGCCAGTAGACTATACCTACATACCCTAAAATTTGTCTAAAGGTCCATCTGTTCGTTTACCATATATGTCTTCTCGACGGTTCGCGCTTAACGGGGTTATTGGCTGGCCAGTATGGCGTGTATGTCCTTCTGCAGACGCAGATTATATGCGAATTCAATATCCGGAAACCCATCAGGTCTGTAAAATTTTGAGGGCCTAGGCGAGACGTCGCACTCTTATGGGGTCCAGTCGAAGGATATGGATACTTACTAGAAATAATTTTAGATTTCAATATCCTGATGTAGAATCTGTGAACGATTCATTGAACCACCTCACACCTTGCTCTACCTAATTTAATTAAATTGGCCGCAGACTAATATATATATATATATATGTATATATATATATATATGTATATATATATATATATATATGTATATATATATATATATATATATAGAGTACAGCTAGATATATGACTAGAGTTGTCAGACGGTCGGCACGACTAGAGTTAAGGCAAATCCAATTTCAGCTTCGGGTTATGTTCCACAACTTCACCCGACTAGGTCCAATAATTGTAGGCCTAAAGGTTGAAGCCGCTCGACTCGTGCTAATATGCCTGGGTGCAGAGTGCTGTTAAAGGAACGGGGCATACAATTATATAATAGGTGCGTTAAGGCTGGCGTGTTAAGATTCGTTTGGTAAAGAATATAGCTCGGATACGCGCGCGCTCAACGAAGATGACGATGCTAGCCAACGGGAAGTTTTTTACTATTCCCTCTAAAAACATGAGCCTTCCAAGCCGATTATTACCATTACCGCATGCTACTAGACACAGGCCACTGCTAGCGAAAAAGATGGAAAGTGAGCGAAGGAAGGAGCATAGAAGAAGGGACTGGTTTTTTAGATTAGAAAAATCGGCAGAGGTTTAGGGCAGCCCGTTGCTGCAAAACGTTTCCTATCCTCACGATCACAGTAGGTCCAAC